AGGCGCCGCTGCTTCTGCTGCTGCGCGCCGCCAAGGCCCTCGAGGTGCGGCACCACCAGAGACTCCGCCGAGGGCGGACGCGACGCGGTGTAGGACGACGACGACACCACCGAAGACGACGCCTGCCGCCGCTCACTCTCCAGTGCGGCTGGCGACGCGGCGGGGCTCGGACGCCGTGTGATTTTGTGCGCAACGACGCGCTGCAGGTGGGGGGATGTACCGCTCATGCTCGGTGCGTTCACTTGAGACGGCGTGTGTGCAACGACCGGTCGCTTCTCCAGCGCCACAAACACCGCTGACGACTGCTCTACGCTCGGCGACTTGGACCCTGATTTCCGCTTCTCAGCCGCAGGGTCCACATGACGCGTCACCGCAGACGCCTTCGAAGAATGCGCATCCTTCGTATTTGGCTCATTCTGCTGCTTCTGTCGTAGTGGCAGCAGCGCTGATTGTTGTCCTCGCTTCACTTCTAGCTTTCCTTGGCTAGCCCTGTGACTATTGGTGTCACCATGCAGTGCGGCTAATTCTTCATGTGTAGCGTCGCATAGCTGCTTGCTGCAGGAGGGTTGCCGTGTGGAGTTTTTCTCTACCTCCGTCAGTGGTTTGCTGAGCTCCCTTCTCATCGTTGTCGTCTCCTCACATCCTGACAACGCAGGGGATGGAGACGGCTGCTTCACTGACAGAGCCACCGATGCGGCGCGTCCTGGCGTAATCGCCGGTGATGCTTCACGGTTTTCGTCGCTCTTCCTCTCCTCTTGAACTGTGTCCTTGGAGGACACAAGGCATCGCGACGATGGCCTTCCATTGATCTCTGAGGCAAAGCCTGTAAAAATGGCACGCTGGATGTTCTTCTCAGGAATGACACACACACCATTCAGGTAAAATGTGGTGTACGCCGCCTCTAGAAGTTCGGTCTCGTGGGATGGGCAGCGGCTGTCGCTCCGATGCTGTTCCGTCTTGCTGCTGCCGTCGTTCTTGTGGTCAATGGTGTTGGGGTGTGGCTCCTTCCCAAGCGCTACGACGAGGGCGGAAAAGATCTCATCACTGGCCAAAGCCACTGTTTTCATCTCTGGCACATACGTGTGGATCATCGCCGCGTTGTCGGGCGACATATGCACCACTGTTGCGCCACAGAAGTGCAGGAGGGCTTCGTACTTCTTCTTGAGCTGCGCGTCCGGCACGATAAAGGTGTACTGATGCAGTGGCCTGCTCGGCGACGGACTCGCCGCGAGGAATTCATTCGCGCTGTAAAAGGCCGTGGACGGCTGCCTGTACTCCTCCACGGGGAGGTGCGGTGATGCGGGGGCGGCGACGGCCGGCGGCGGGAAATCCGCCGGCGTCATCTCACTCTTTCCACGTAGCAACTCCACGAGTGTGTTGACGTAATCGACCGTCGTGACGTGGTACTGCTGCGCCATCGCGAGGAGAGCGTTAGGCGTCGCATCATAGCCGTCGCGCGTAACGTACAGGAAGGCGACGCAGTTGCAGCCCATGTTGTAGAACGTCGCGGGCGCCGGCGCCGGCTCACGCACGAGCAGCGCGCCCAGGCG